TCAGCAGATGGGTAGTGGGTGATCAGCAGATGGGTAGTGGGTGGTCAGCAGATGGGTAGTGGGTGATCAGCAGATGGGTAGTGGGTGGTCAGCAGATGGGTAGTTGGTGATCAGCAGATGGGTAGTGGGTGGTCATCAGGTGGGTAGTAGGTGATCAGCAGATGGGTAGTAGGTGATCAGCAGATGGGTAGTGGGCAATCAGCAGAAGACATCACTTTCCCTTTTTGTCATTAATTTCAGGCATTTGTCAAAAAAGGAGAAGTGGAAACAAAAATGTTGAGTGCCCTTTTAACTGGTGTCAACAGAGCTTTCCCTTTTACAAAAGGTGGGTATAGAGAAGCTAAAATCATTTCTAAACAATCAAAAACATTTATAATCATAGCAAGCCAATTCTTGTGATTTCAGATACTGAAGAAGAGAGATACAGTGAACAGATTGATATGTTGTTTAAGATTGTACATATTGGAACATTCAACACCAGCTTACAGGTGAATAATAATAATAACAATAATAATAATAATAATAATATAATTTATTTAGAGTCAATTACATGGGAGGTTGCTGCCTATTCTTATGAGCCAAAGGCTAATTTTAAAAATGCTGGATAAAAAAGTAGCATAAAAATCAAATATTATGTACTTATTCAATAACTATGAAATATCTAAAATTACAAAAGTTTTTGAATGAAAAAAACTTGTTTCTTTCTAGGCACTCATGCTTTTACTCCAAGTATTAGATTCAAGGTAATACTATAAATGCATCTTCACATTCAGCACTACAATCATTTATTTGTTAGGGAAATAGGTTATCAATTAAAACAGGAAGCAATCAATTAGGTCATTCACCGAGGGAGTAACTCCTTTTTCCTCTAGCCAGAGGGCCATGGCTAAAATATTCATCACCGGATTGACCTTGATTCAGTTTAGAAGTTGTTTTTCATGAAGGGAGGAAAATTGGAGAACGTGGAGAAAAAATATAGGAAAGAATTGAAGCAACTTTACTCATATGTGATGTCTGGTAACAGGATTGAACCCCATGTATTAACAGTGCGTGCTGATTCCTTAATCAACTAGATTTTTAACTAATATAATGAATACTTTTTAAATGAACAGGCAGTCCATATCAGACAGGTATTATACAACATTGTACAGTAAGCTGTTGGATACGTCATTAGCAACATCATCTAAACAAGCCATGTTTTTAAATGTGTTGTACAAGTCTTTGAAGATTGATACTTCTGTCCCAAGAGTGAAGGTGAGTTTTGCCATTACCATCATTATTCATCATCATCATTATTTATTATCATCATTATTCATCATTCGGTTTGGGAATAACCCTCTCAACTATTTCCTAATATTTTTCTGCTATGCCAGTAGCAGACTTGTGATATTCAGTTATATATTTTTTGTGACATTTTTTGCTTTTGTTTTGTTTTATAGGCTTTTGTGAAAAGGCTTCTCCAAATTTGTAACAGTCATCAGCCGGCATTCATCTGTGGAGCACTTTACTTGGTGTCAGAGGTATTAGAAGTGTCTTGCGTTCTATGGCTTTGATCTCTGTCAGTCATACTTGAATTGGTTAAACTAGTGTCTATTGACATGGATGCTGATATGCATGACTATTCTACAGACTCATCCATCCTCCATTTATCCCTTTCCATCCACTAATTTTTTTCATACATCAATCTTTTAAAATGTCTATAAAGTAGCTCCCAAGGATCATTTGCAGAGTCACAATACAATGTCCTTCCTTCATGTCTTGATTTCTTTCTTTCTTCCAGCTGATGAAAATCAAACCCACGATAAAAAGTATGATAGAGCAACCAGAGGTAGGAGTTGAAATTATGCCAGATAAATTTAGATTGATATTCACCTTGGTATAAACAGTCTGTGGTTCTTCAGAGAATGGAGCATTGTGCTCAAATCATCTATACAGGGGCGGATCCAGAAGAAGGATGCAGTCCAGGTGAACCCCCGTCCCTCCCCAGATAAGCTAATGACCTTTTTATCAAGATTAATAACTTGATGAGCTGACTTATCTGTTTGTCCGGATCATAAATTGTACACCCCCTCCTATAAATAATCCTTAATCTTTCCCTGTTATAAAAGAACAGTAGGCTTTGGAAGGAGTGAAAGAAAATCCAAATATTCAAAAGAAGAGACCAGAAGTCCTCCCTGGGGTGGGACAGGGGGCTAAAGTGCAGTCACAACATATGTTGGTATTGCAATTCAAAAGTATTGGGGGTCAGAAGTCCTGCATACTGCAGCCCCTCTTTGCCTGACAGTTCTTACTGTGTCCAGGAAACATTAGTGCCCTTTCAACCCATGTTCCTGTGTGTGTTTAAGGAAGGAAATACTAATCCAGTATGCATTGAATAAAATATAGGAAGAAGATGAGGAAGAGCACTTTGAAGATGTACCTGATGATGATGATGATGGCAATGTTCATCCAGATGTATCATCTGATGATGAAGAGAACACAAATGATGATGCAGCCAAAACTCAAAATAATTCAACAGTTTCTACTTCAACTTCGAATCCACCARGAAAAAGCTATGACTTTAAGTCTAGAAACCCTCTGTTCAGCAAAGCAGAGAACACTTGTATGTGGGAGATATCTGAACTGTGTGACCATTACCACCCGTCAGTCAGTCACTTCGCTAATCAGATTAGAGAGGTGAGTTATATACCTGTGTAAGGAATGGACACTATGGTATACTAAGGGAGGGAGGGGTTTGGATATCTGAACTGTGTGACCATTATCACCCATCAGTCAGTCACTTCRCTAATCAGATTAGAGAGGTGAGTTATTTACCAAAATAAGAAATGTACACTATGGTATACTAGGGGAGGGAGGGGTTAGACACTATTGTATACTAAGGGAGGGAGGGGTTGGACACTATGATATACTAAGGGAGRTAGGGTAGGGATTGCATAGCCGTACTATGTACCTATCGTCTGAATATTGTTGTTTATGTTCACAGAGTCAAGTTATAGAATACAAAGGTGACCCTCTACAGGATTTCACGCTGATGAGGTAATATTATCCACCAGTGCTATCATTATTATTACCTATTATCGTATCATTAGAGTCAAAATGGCTCAATTTATTATTCTTTCCGAGAATACAAAGATCCAGGATTCAAAATAATAACTGATTCAAAACATGAATTCTGATTGGATTATTCCATATAAGGAACACCATAAGCCAATCAGAATTCGAGTTTTGAATCGATTATTATTTTGAATACCGATTCTTGTTAATCTCGGAAAGAATAATAAATTTCAATATTTGAATAATGAAATCATTAGTGGAATCTAGGGAATAAGCTTGAGCCATTTTGACTGTAATAATTATCTTTTGTTATACTTTTGGACAGGTTTTTAGACAGATTTATTTATAAGAATCCCAAGAAAAAGATCAAAGGTAACGAAACTGCCCAGTTACAGTGAAACTATTAGAGTATGTGCAATACTAAAGACATATTAACATTTATTCGCCCTTTCTTTCTTCCTTTTATTTATTCATTTTCTCTGCTTATTTATTTTTTTCTTTCTACAGACCATGGAGGATCACTGATGCAGGTAACAATTTATTCACTGCTATATTTTCAATTCCTAGTTAAATTTGTCTCCATGATTAAGCAGAGTGAGTATAAAAATCAATGATTCTACAATTCTCTCACAGCCAAAAACACCATCTACAAGACTACAAGAAGAGCCAGGTGAGTGAGTCACCCCAGTTGATTTATTTTCTTTTTCAGTTTATCCTCATTTACCCAGTTTTTATCTTTACTGGGTTACCTGTACTTAAGGCAAATCAAGTCAAGAGACAAAATTGATATACTCTAAAGAGACCCAATGATGGAACACTCCCTTTTACTTGGGTTCAGTCCCCCCCTCCCACCCCCCAGTGTGACACCAAACAGGTATCCCATCAGAAGAAAAAATCTGCACCCAATTCTCATTGAAGAGTTTTGGTCTTACAGAAAATGTATTGACTTAGGAAAAAATGTTTAAAATTTATCTTAAACATCTTCAAGCTTCTATCTGTTTCTGTTTTTTACTTCTTCATTTTATTTTTGGATATCAAACAAGGTATTGTCAACATTGTCTGATCAGCCTTCAGCAAAATAGGTGGGTTTTTATTCTCTGGTTACCCCTCAAAGATGCAAAGTATTATGGGGATGTGAAAGTAGAGAATAAGCTAGACCAGTAGAGATGATACCAACAATTATTGGGGATTGAAGGTTTTTTATGATTCCTTTGCAGTTAATTCCAATACATTCCTAAAAAAGAAGGAAGAAGAAGTGCGAGAAGATGAATTGTTCTTTTACAGGTAACTGAGTAGTAGTCACAGTTAATGAATGTAAGGAGGGCGGGAAGGCAGGGACAGGGAGGGGGGAGGGAGGGACACTGTGGTATCATTCTATCAGAGATAGAGAAGAGGATGATAAGTATGTAAAAAGAGAGGGGAGGGGTAGTACAGGAATTTTAGAGGTTTGAACATGAATCAGGGTTGGAATGAAATAAGGTATGAAGGAAGGAGAGGGCAGCTTTAGAGAGTGTTAATTTTGATGAGAGGGAGGACGAGGTGGGTTTTTGAACAATATGGAAAAGAGACTGATTAGTATGAAGGGAGGGGATGGAAGGGGATTGATGATACTGTGCTCATTATACCATGTTTTTTTTAGATATTTCAAGGCCAAAGCAGCAAATAAGGGAGAGAAGAAAAAAGAAAATGAAGAAAATGAATCTAGTGATGATGATATTGGTAGGCCTCTAATTATTTCCATAGTAATATAGGTTACAAAGTTATTAAATTTCATTATTTGTTCATTATTTATTTTTTGTTTTGTTAGATATCGTACAAGATGAAAGTACGAGTCTTGAGTTTGACTTTGCAAGGTTGGTTGGATTCCTCATGTATAATTTTTCCATTTATCTGATGCTTCATGGTAATATTTAATTATAATTATTGTTTATGGTTACTGTTTGCATTGGCTCCCAAAATATTTTGATTGGAAGAGACTTAGATTTACCTTCCTTATATTTGTTACAGAGAAGTCAAGAAATCCAAGCAAACTAATAAAAAGAAGAGCAAGAATAAGGGTGATGAAGATGACGATGAAGATGAAAATGTAGTGGAGGAAGAAGACGCATCAGATGAGGAAGGTACTGACAATCATTTCATTCCCAGTTTATTATCCACCCACATTTGTCCCATTTCATTTTCGTCTAATTGTTTTAGTATAACCTACTAATTGGCCAGATAAATGGATATAAATACTGTTGAAATTTGGTTAATTTATTTATTTTTTATTTATTTGTTTTTTTTGGKTTTTTTTTTGCGTTCTTTCGGTTTTCTATCACACCAATAGAACACTAGTAGCTAAACTAAGCCAATCAGACGCATATCATTAGTAGGTTTATACTAAATCTCCACATCTTGAGACGATTCAGGACAGTAATGGGGCATTCTTTTTTAACATTAAGTTGATTATTATAATTTTTCTTCATCGTAGAATTTGACTATGACAAAATGGACTTTTCAGACGAAGAGGAAGATCTTGAAAATGATGGTAACTGTTGCTTCTGTTTCTTATGGCAATTTTTTTGTTCTTCTTCTTAAATATTTTCTATTATTTTTCTTCCAGATTTGCAGACTCCTGGGAAAAAGAGAAAGTTTACTGATAAAGATTATGAAAAAGTAATTTCACACAATTTACTTCATTTTTTTCTTTTTGGTCACTTTATTTTTCGGGAAGTGTGGAAAACATACGAAATCTTGACCCTCAAATGGCTTTCGAATTAAGAGCACTATCATTGGCTTTTATTAGACACTGTTATGCCTATTGATTGGTCGATTGTGGAAGCCATTTGAAAGTCCTTGACTCAAATATTTTTACAAAATTAGATTACTAATATTTATATATTTAACAGGCTTTGTTAGAGAATATCAGTTCTGATGAATTTGAATCAGATGAGGAAGGAAAAGACAAAAAAGGAAAATCCAAGAAAAAGCAAAAACGTCAAGGGTATGTGAAAATAGATTTTGCTGTTATGTCTTCAACTACTTTGTTGTAAACATTTATCCGAGGTAGTGTTGAGCAGAATTCACTAACGAATTTTATAACTATTAAGCCCTTGTTGTGAATGCTTTGATTTGTTGTAATGGATTTTCATACGTACTACCAAATTTTGGTTGTTTTTGAAACGCTAATTTTGTCATTTTAGGGATGAAGATATCAGCTCACTATTTGCTTCTGCCGATGAGGTAAGAAACAAGATGTTGTATAGAACTTGGCTTCCATCTATCAACGTCATCAATGCCAATATCATCAACACCACCACCGTCATCACCACTACCACCACCATTAACACTACCATCAACATTATTAACATCACCATCATCACCAACACTTCCATCACCACTATATCACCAACACAGCTATATAATTTTCATCATCATATCATCACTATCTCTGACATTCCTCGGTGAATCACAAATCTAGTCATCATCATATTATTCTAACAGTATTTGTAAAAGCAAATGGTATTTTCTTTTGTTGTTTAGTTTGCTCATTTGTTGGAGGACTCAGCATCTGCTGGTGGGGGCAGCCACCATGATGTCTCGGGGAAAGCCAGCAACAAACAGATCTTATGGGAACAACGTACCAATCAAACATGGTCACGTGGGCGTGGACAGGGAAGAGGTAGAGGGAGGGGAAGGGGAAGGGGGAGGGGGGACAGACAAGAAAAATGCTCATTTCACAATAAAAGGGGCAAAGGCCCAGACAGAGGAAGAAGAGGACGAAAACCGGGAAGGGGTAGAAATTAAAATACGAGTGAAATAGATCTTTGAAATAACTTTTTACTGTATAAAGATTCACATGAAATCACGAAAAAATAATGATTTCATTAAACCCGTGAAATAACAGCTTTGTAATTGTTAGCAAACGAAGACTAGAAAACTATRCGGGTTACTGTAATGGGATGAAGTATATTTTGCAAATTCCCATTAAATCCTGCTATGCTATCTTCATTGTTTCGTTTACGTATTAACGGACTGAATCCGGTTTCCTTGCCGGTTGCTTTGACCAAACTTACAGAAGTTCTTCAGGAACATCGGGAACCTGAAAAAACGAACAAAATAGATGCTACAAATGCTTTCTAAAATGGCTGTTGTAAAATGACTTTGTTAAAAAAGTTTCCAAAAATTTTACCCCCCAGGGTGTAAAACTGTAGGGGGTCGTTCTATTTACCGTGACTGTGATATCAATAAGGTCATCCGCGGTGGCCTGCGACCTTTGCATGTGTTGCATGTTGTATTCAAGTGAAGTCAGCAACATAAAAAACTGTGACATCGACTCTCGCATCCTGTCAAAAAAAATTCAAACACTCAAAACTGATAAAGGATTTTACTGCAAGTTAGAAAGGTTTTGCTGTTTCTACCGACGTTTCTGCAAACTCGAAAACTACGGGGGTTTTACTGCGTATTACAGATAAGAAAAAAACCCTGCGTCTATAGTTGTCCGTTTGGATCAGAAAAGCACACCAAACGTAGTCACTGACATCTATTCTGGATATTCAATAGAGGTTTTGCACCATCACGTGACGGCAGCCATTTTAGATTGCAGGAACAATACAATCGTTTTACATGAGAAAGCAAAGGGATTTTATTGTTCTGCCATCTAACCACATGCAGTCCAAGCTGTATTATGGCGCCGGCATGTGATGTTACAAAACCTCTATTCAAGCATCAGTGTTTTTTGCATCRGGATTCTAGTTCATATTCTTTGCATTAGGTGACCAGTGCGCGGTCGATCGTATATTTAGCCAGCAGAACGAGAATTAGCAGTAATTATCTTGGATTGTTCTACTAACCAGGGTCGTGAGTTCCCTAGTACCCGTACTCAACAAAGGTCCAGACTCGGTCGTCACTCACTCACGCTTTTTTAATGCGCGCGGCGGTTTTTGGCATTTGGCTTTTTTTTTTTTTTTTCGTCCTTCCCTTGATGCACCAGGAACTCACTAAGTCCTTCCCATCAAACACACATCGTGAAATCAATAAGACAAGAGAAGCGACTGGGTACGAGTCTGACAAAGTTCGGGGTGCTGGGCACGGATTGGATTACGAAATGGTGACCAAAAAAGGGTGGAAATTTCAATACACTGTCTAGAGGGAAGGAGAAGAATGTTTCCTTTGCTGACCTGTTGTCGGGAAACTTGTCAGCGTGATAAAAATCTTCCACTTTCTTTGGCTTCCAATGTGCTTCCTCTTCGAGTTCTTCCTGGACTATTAAAATCACAACAAGACTAATGATCCTTAGCTTATTTGATCTTTATTGGAGTTCTTAACTATTTTTGGACGTCCTTTTAGTTAAAGCTAGTCAGAATGAATGGAATACTTACCATCAATGTCATCATCAGATTCCTCGGAGAAAGATGACTCAAATGACTCGACATCTTCATTCCCAATCTCATCCTTCACGTGGTCAAAGAAAAGTAAATAAGGGGTTGGCACTAATATCATAGTTAATAGTCTATTAACTATGCTAATATATACCATTTTGGATAATATGAAATGTAGCGGCTTTCGAAATGTGAAAACAAAGAACTAAACTAAAAAAATTCAATCAAATATTATATAGTATAACTCATCCTATGATTTTTATTTT